TATATATATTTGGTTGAATTTTGAATATAAATAGTTATATACGCTATTTCTCCAAAAAGATACTTTTGATTAGGAAGGAATTGAGATTAGATTGAAGGTGTTTTAATAGCACAAATCTCCATTTAGAATGACTTTTTCGCTAAGAGTAGATTCTTATATTTCCTGCGCGAGCTGTTAAGACCCTTAGCAATAGGATTTTAGAACCAAAGTGTGCTGAACCCTCGGCAATACCTAGGTATAGTTTGAAACTTCAAAAATCCAAAGGAGCTATTTTTTACTCCAGATGATACGTGGGGGAATGGCTTCTTCGTTAATAGCTTGCATCAGATGAACATAAGTATAATTAAATCTCAGAACGTTGATTACAAAAAATGATTGGAAGGAGCTCACAATCCATTGCTCCACCATAAACTTGAAGAGAAGGAAGGAAGAAATTGTTCATTGACGAGGTCCCACCTCCATAAACGTTTTGGATTTATATCATTGACTAAACGCGCTGCATCAGCTCAACAAAAGATTCAATGAGTTGGTGAGGTCAAAATGGAGGGATCGTAAGATTTACCGTAATTAATTAAAGTTAATATATTCCAGGTCAAACTCAGAGAAGATCAAATCTCAAGTCTTAAAAAAGAACTTCATGCAATTGAGAAGGAAAACGAAGAACTGCTAACTACTATAGCGAGTGCGAATCTTTGGAGTAAACTCAGTAAGGATAAGGACACTAATGAGGGTCAAGATGAACCCGCTATAGAAGAAAGCGCCTCCACTACTATCGAAAGGCCCACGTTTTCACCGTTAACTGAAGAACGGCAGCCAAGCGAGGATTCTGAGGGTAAGGGTTATAAATTAGCAATTTCGACGTACACTATATAAGTGATGTTCATAGCTACCTCGACGGATTCTGAAGGAGGAGCGACAAAAACTATCCTTCAGGATAACTCAAAAGAATTTGAAAAACGTTTGGCGAAGATGAAAGAGGCAGCAGAACTATGCATACATGGTTATAAGGTTAATATTACGTTCTCATTACAAATAGCAAACTAATCAATAAATAGTTTTCTCTTTTTAGCAACAACTTCGCCAAAAAGACCAAGCATTGGAAATGTATCGCAAACTCGCGGAAGAAAAACTTTCCACAAGGTCACAACCTCCAGAAAAAGAAATTGTTCGTGAAGAAGTCCGAGTTGTGGATGAGCGAACAGAAGAGCGACTTCGACAAGCTTTAGGGGACGTGGCAAGATTGAAAGTAAGGTTCTCAGCCCGAAGCGAATCGTCCAAAAGATTTTCTGCGTTTCAGGAAGAGATTGAAGAACTTGAGAAAGCGAATCGAGCCCTATACAGGAAACGAAGAAGAAGCATTGTTCCTGTTGTTTCAACGGTAATTTTTGTTATGTATAAAATAGAATCAATCACTCTCAAAAAAATTCTAAGCAGAAGTTGGAATTCTCCACAATGGTTTGCCAAAAACAATTTCCATTTTGTCAAAAAAAAATCAGTACAGTCCATTTTACATGAAAAATGCTCTTCATCAAGTTCAAAAGTGTTCAGTTAAGCAAAATTTGCAGTGCATCTGGCCTTGATCATAATAATGAGAAAATGAGAGAGTAGCTCTAAATCAATTTTACCCTATGTGGTCAGTGACAACCAGAAGGGAAGAGTAGGAAGATCCAAAGAAAATAGATGGGAAGTGTGAGCCAAAAATAGTCACTTCGCAAACTATTCGCAAAGAAAATCTTTTAAAAAAAGAACAAAGATAAGAGACCGATGAGATTGGAGCAGGAAGCGCTGCTATCGTTACACCATGCAGATATACATACAAAGCAAATCAAACCTTTCGTATTTCCGATTTCGGTTACCTGGTACTGCAGTTTCCAGGAAATAATGCTTCCTGAAATTTGGATAGCCCTTCCAGTAACTGGTAACAGGCCAATATGTATACAAGTGCCTCTACGATGCCCAAGCAGAAGTTTAGCGCTCCAGAACAAAACTAAAGGGCAAAGGTTCTGAACTTACCTCATCTTCTTGCTTCATTTCAGTCTCCAAACTAAATGTTTTTTTCTAAAAAAGGAAATGACACTTCTGAGGGCTGGGTGTTAAGACATCTTTTGAAAATAATCCACTTATATTACAGTTTATTCATCCAAAGATGCATTGTAAATACCAATTTACCAATATTTGTTAACTTTATAATTAGTATTTGCCTCGAAAACCATATTCTGTTTATTTTGAACAAGAAGAAGTAAGATCTTTATTATTTAGAGTTTCAAAGTTAGCTTGAATTTTTGGTATCTCACAACCTCATAAATAATTAGCAAAATCTCATGATTATATAATGAAGTCATTACAGGTCGAATGTCAAACGGACATATTTACAAAGGAAGAGAATGAAACAAAGGATATTGAGCAGAAGACAAAATCCCCTTCGAGAGTGTCGCCAGCGGATAGCGTTTCATCGAATATGGTAGGATATAAATTTCTAAATATTTACTGCCTATTTTATCAAAATTTGATAAAAGAACACCACTGCAAAAATAATAAGGTTATTGTGGAAAAAGAAATAAAATGCTGATTCTCTTCAAGAAACTTCCCGAGAATTAAATCAGATATATGTATTGAAAAAAGCCTCTTGATATTATAACCCACAATTACGAAACTCGAACACGATGCCCTAAATAATAACGTACGCTTTTGAGGAAAATAAACTCGAAGTCGAGAGGCGAAGGTTTAAGAGCGAAATCAAACAGTTACAAGGAAAACTGCGCCGAGTCACAGCGAACAACAAGGTAAGTCAACAATTTACCACAACAAATCAGAAGCAAGGTTATATTGATATCTTACTTTAAAATGATGTAAACTTTGAAGAATCTACGAATTATGTTTCCAAAAATCTTAAAGGTTTCTGCTTATTCAAGTTCCCTACT